CTACTTTAAAGAGTCCTCTCCTGCTGATGTTCAGGTGTATATCAGTATGTAGTGTCTCTACTTTAAAGAGTCCTCTCCTGCTGATGTCCAGGTGTATATCAGTATGTAGTGTCTCTACTTTAAAGAGTCCTCTCCTGCTGATGTTCAGGTGTATATCAGTATGTAGTGTCTCTACTTTAAAGAGTCCTCTCCTGCTGATGTTCAGGTGTATATCAGTATGTAGTGTCTCTACTGTGACATGTCTCCATGCTTTAATGCTCAAAAGCTCTTTATTGTTCTCTGTGCTGCAGCACCTCTTTTCACCCTCTGTCTGAAACCAGAGCCCAGTCTGCTCTGATTGGTTAGCTGGCCACCTCTGTTGTGATTGGTCAACCGCTTAGAGATGTCCCGCCCCTTAGCCTATCACGTACAATGTGTTAATGCTAGCCAATAGAAGTGCAAGTGTTACATAGTGATGTCACTATGTTCTGGAAGTAAAAGGAATCCATTTACAACACCTACAGGAAAAATAAAACCCAAAAAGTAGAATAGGGCCTCTTTAAAACGTCGGACAGCTGGACATTTATCTAGATATCAAAGCTAAAAAACTATATGTCTCTTAAATATTTTTCGATTGGGACCAAAGCTGCAGTGTGTTTGTTTCTTGCTTTCAAAATGCTAAATCATGATAAAACAGCAGTTTTTAAAAAATCATTGTTGTTGTCTAAAAGTGCATTACTAATGCAGTTGTGATTACAATCGTGAAGCCTCCTAATTTTAACAGATACATTTTGTTAACAATCAAAAACTACAGCTCCAATCAGGATGCGATTGAGCTCTCACGATGCAGCAGTTGATTTTGTTGTCAACAAAAAGAGCGTTGTTGCATCTTAGTTTAATGTAATGTTATTTCCTGTCTTTCTCAGGCTTTCTAGTTTTGACTTTCACAACAACAACGAGGTCATGTGTGATCGCAAAGCCTTCATTCTGTATACTGTTTGACATAAGTTCATCTTTTGTTCATGCTTGCATACTGTTGCTTCTTTAAATAGCCAGACTTTTAAGTTGTTAGCATCTGGGTTTAACGTTGTGTGGTGAGATGCAACACTGAATACAGACATGTTGTAAAAGATGTCTCGGAGCAGCTTCACACGGTGTCACACACACTTCAGTCCGTTCAGACACTTCAGCCTCAGAAAGCCATCACTTCCATGAAAGAAAAAGAAACAATTTATTTCAACCCTACAATGGTTACATGGAAACACACTGATATGTACTTACAAAAATTCCTCAGAGAATAGAATAATTTCACATGATTGAAAATGAAATATTTTTAGTGTTGTTGCACATATGTATTTTTTACTTAGACATTTCTCTGCTTTCAGGTAGAAAGAGAACAAGAACAAAAAAAAAATCTTCAAGGTCAGTTTGAAAAGAGTATGTACACTTTGTCACAAAACATGATTAGTTTCAACCTTCTCTCCAGACAAGGCGGTTACATTATAATGTGAAAATTAATCTTGAAAAATGATTACCATAACCAGTGTCCATTTTTTTTTGCTCTGCAATCTTTCCTCATTTTATACAGCAGGACATTTCAAGCTTGTATCCAAAGACAGAGGAATGAGGCACTCTTCACCTGTTAACACATTCATAATGCTCCAGTGGGGAGCTCTAAAGCAGCTGCATAGCACATGAATGAATACTGGATCATGCCTTCATGCAGTGTTCATGCTTTCATGTCATTTGTGACAACGATGTGTCTGTTTAAAAGGCAACGAATTCCAAAATAAAAGTCTCTTTGTGATTGCCATTTCCGGTTGTAGACACATAATGAAACAGTGTAAGGTAAGTCTATTAATCACCCCTTCTTAAGATCACATTAAGGCATTATGAATGTGTTACTAATCTAAAACACTCCCAAATCCAACGGTAACATAACCCTTTCCAAATCTATTCATATACAACATGTAAACAAATGAAAACAAAAATATTAACAGAATCTAAATTCCCCCGAAATTTGAGAATGATGCAAGTACTGAGCACCCTGTAATAACATCATGAAATCAATGTCTTCTTATTTTTTTATCTTGTGTGTGGCTGCACAAGGGGTCGAAAGGCATAGAGAGCAAAGGAGTCTGCGCTGAAAGATTTCAAAGGCTCAGACTTTCCTCTTTCTCCTCGCAAAAAAAAAATCAGTTTATGAGAGGCAGAGCAGAGCCAGCATGGACAGCAGGAGCGCTGCCAGACTGCAGGAAACACACCGGCACCCCAGGGTGGCTGATTGACCAACCACAGATGGATAATAAAAATATATAATACAAGCAACAAACACAGAGAAAGAGACATTTGTGTGTATGGCAATGTCATGGTCCATAGGTGCCCAAGAAGATCACACATGAAGACGAGACACGGAGAAAAAAGGGGGGAAGAAAGAGGGAAAAGAGGGAGAGAGATAGAAAAATAACGTCAGAAATACAGAAATTACAACTGAATCGAGGAATAAAAAGGGAAGTCTACATGTGAAGCTCGAGGATCAAAGTAAAAAAATAAGCCGTAGCATGTTAGCAGCACGGCAAGATGACGCATGGCATGCATGGGGGTGAAAGGTCACGGAAATGAAGGGAATGACAACAGACAGGAAGACGAGTCAAACACAGAGTAATGGTTAGAAACAAGACAAGGTTTTAATCCGTCGTGAGGCAGATCAGTGGCAGTTATAAGTCACGCTATAGAGTGGTGCAGGAATGAGTCCGTACACGCGGAAATGAGTCGGCATTTAAGCACTTCCTGTTCCCTCTTCTGGAAGTTTCTGGTTTCGAAGGTTTTTGTTCCACAGCATACATTTTGTCAGTAAATAGTAATACCCCACTGGTGAATTTAATCGTGAAGTATTATCGTATTGTAGCGTACCTTATTGCATCGTATCATATCGTAAAGTATTATCATAAGGTATTGTAACATATTGTATCAGAAAGTATTGTATTGTAGTGTATCATAGTCAGGGGTGCACACAACTTTCTCAGTGAGGTACTCAGATGAGTACCTGGAGTCAGTGTTTGGTACTCCAACTTCTGGCTCCCCTCAAAGTTCCCATGAAGCCCTCCGTATCGCGAATATCAGCGGGTGGGGGTGCTAG